TCATATACTCGCACAACCCTTGTATTCTCTCACTCCTGAAGATTGCATTAGCATGAAACAGTCTGTAGAGTGATAATACCCAGTTCTACAAGTTCTACATTTTCAATACTTTCAATATATATATACATATATATTTAAAATTATGTCTTTTTTTTTAACACTTTTCCTCATCTTTATCAATTTATCGCAGCTTACCTTAATGTTTACTTATTAAAATACTAATTTTATTCAAAGGGTTTAGCTCATATATTCAGTAAATCTAAGGATATCAAAGGAGTTACCAGTTTCTCAGGAACATCTTTTTATCGAAGTACAAAAACAGTGTGCTACATATCAGTCATTTTAAAAATGAACATGGTGCTAAATTAATTTATCTTAAAGACTTTTGTTATTGTTGTTCCAAATAAAATAATATACTTAAGTACATGATTAACGGTTGCCAATATTGGTATTCTTAGGTAAGAGAAATACATTATAACAACGAAACACATGTGTTTACAACCGTCATGACTGGAGATAAAAGAAGAGCAGCGATGGTAATTGAAGCGGGGACCAAGAGATATCCACGGTTCAGCCCATACACAATGGCTAACACCAATTTAGCCGACTTAACTAAGCCGCTCTCTAATGTACAGTAACATCTCTGGATACGTCCTGGCTTTAGTTCAAAATGATATGAAATTGTTGATTGTTCACACAATATTTATTTTAAAATATCGGAATATATCATTGCATGTTGATTTTATTCATCACTTATTTTGCACTAATTAATGATTATATCCAAGGAATATGAATGATGTGGATATTAGTACCGGACTACCCGCTGGGCCTGACCGGTTCGGATTTTATTGTCTTAAAACCATACAAGAGATCATTTGAAGCTAATTTGAAGCCTTGTTTATAATAAAATAATAAATAAAATTATATGCAAACGAAACAATTACATAGAATGAGAATAGGGCGTTGGCCAAGAAATATTCCTCGTGTTGCTTCTGTTGAAGACGCCGAGTAGGTCTAAACCCGACCAGTGTCGGGTTATAATAAGTGTCTTTGTTGCTTGGCTTCTCGAATATAAACCCTAAAAGTGAGATTTAGGCGGGTTACTGACAATGTTTGTATCCGTGTGTGTCAGTAATATGTTGTAGTTAAGTCGGGCGGCACTGCACTGCGGCTACCACATGTCTCCACAGGGCCCAGCCTAAATTTTCGATTTCCGATTAGTAAAATGAGAACAAAAGAGTTAAAAAAAATTATGTAATAAAAATAATATTAAAAGAACACCATTAGCCAAATTATTTCATTCGTTCAAACTATGCCAAACAAGTTTTCACCCACCCCCTTTGCCTACTCCCTTGTAAATACCTTTGAAAAGCAATAATAGCTAACATTAGCCAATTATTGTATTCCAATCGTTTAAACTAGGTCTAATAAGTGGTCACAACATATTTACGCCATTCAAAAGCTTACTGTAGTGGTAGTAGATGAGTCATTTCGGTTTTTTTTAAACACTTGCTTAGCGCATAAAGACTTGTTATTATGAGCTAGGAAAATATCTAGCAATACCAATATACAATGCAAAATGGTGACATATATGCAACTATTTAGGTATGTTATTAAAATGTATGACTGTGAATGACATCCTTACTATCTAAAGTGTTGTTATAAATATTCTTAATTACTGTAATAGAATTTCTAAAACTCTAGACAGACAATAAGCCTAGATGAAGGCTCCGGTGTCATTCTTGAACTACCTTTGGCATTTAAAAGTGGACGTTTTCGCTAAGCCTCAGTCTTAGATATTGAAACTAAAGTCCCACAAAACGACTGTAAAAACTATAGAGTTAATATAAGAATATAGCTCTATGGTAAAAACATACGCAAACATGTGCGCGTGTGGAACAACACGTGTTGCCCTGTTTTGATTGGTCAATTGTTAAGTTTGATGGACGCTCAACTAAGGAAAATTGTGCCTACCTTCTCCGGAAACGATAACACCTTTAACCGTTTTAAAGCAAAACAAGTTATAAGTATTATAAGTGTTAATGTAATGCCATTCAAAAACTCTAAACAGATATCAGGCCTAAATATAATGCCCACGCGTGTAATTCTTTTACACCATTTGGCAATAAAGCCCTGTTTTTTTTTTTTTTGGTTTTTTTTAACAAAAGGTAGGAAAAACGTTCGAATAATCAAAATTCAATTTTAAACCAAGATTCGTTTTTACTAAAATTTGATAGACGTATAGTAAGATGGATACCTAGAAGATGCTACCGGTACTAAATATATCAGTTAAAGTTAAGTGTAAGTGTTACGTTAGACGGCTAAATATATATATACAGTACTTCGCTATAAACATACATAATATATTGTAAACTTCATATTGCACACAATCACTAGATTTAACAAGTATCCATTTTGCTTATTATGTAAATTACATGACTAAACACTGCAATATAATAAACTTGAGTCTTGGAATCTCCATCATTGTGTTGTCATCAAAAATGCTGCGCTTGACATAACTCTACTGGGTGCTGTCACGAAGCTCCATGGTGGTACTATCTTGACTTATTCGATGGCTGAACTTCTTTATCAGTGCCTCCCGTACCTGAAAATACAATATGAAACATTGATTGTTTGATAAAAAAAAAATTATGTCAATTGTGCTCTAATGTTCCTTAAATCAGTAGATCTTATTCTTGCTCAAGATATAAATGTCTAGTTTAATAGAGTAAAGATTGCCCAAAAAAGGTTGCGTTCATCGTTTAGTTCTTACTTATAATACATGTTACATGAAGATTCTGCTATCGACTTATTTTAACAAAGTTAATTTAAAACCATTTTATCACACATTTGTATACATTTACGGGAAATTTTTAAGATTGATTGAATGAGGTGCTTGGGCTGTGTTTTTTTATGTGTTTTTTAAAAATCTATTTATATTTATTTGTATAGTCAAAATTTAGGGAATTATGTAGTAGGCATGCAATTGCTGATGGATTTGGTTTATGAAATAAAGAAATAAATTACCTCTTTACTGAAGGCGCACTGTGACAGCCAGATAAAGAATCCTTGCATGGAGTTGAAGATAACATATATGTACTTCAACACTTCCCAATCACAAAAGACGATGATGACACCGAAAATCCACGAAATTCCAATTGCTGGTGTAAGGAGCAGTATACCAATAAACATAGTTCTAATATACAGAAAATAAAACATGTTTTAAACCAATGAAGAATGGTTCCCTCTCAGCAGCCACAAAACAGAGAACTTAATGTCTGCCTATATTTAGGGAACTTCCAAAAATATCCCACATTCACCCCTAGCTCCCCGAATTGGCGTTGTGAGTTAAAAAAAAATATACAGGATCCGCCCCTGCAAACGTAATGCAGAACGGACAAATCTGTAAATAACTATGCAATTGTCTACAAAACCAAATAGACGTGTGTTCAAGTTACACAATTTTCACTGCATGATATATTTGAAATACTCCAAAGACTACATCACTTATTCGTCGAATTATGGTATAAAGACAAACACTTGTAAATAAAAATTAAAAAATCATATTCCAATACACGATTATTATAGACCTACCGGTTCACCCGAGATGATCAATAAACAGTAATTTATTGCCTAGATGATTAATATTTGTAAACGGTGAACATGAATCAGTTATAAGTATTACACATAACAGTCACATAGCTTAATCGAGGACAATCTATTGAAAATATATCAAGTTTTATGTAAAAATTTGTAGGTAAATGTGAATTGTTTCTATAACTTTACGAGGAAAATACATATAAAAACAAGGTTCATCTTATTGGTAATAGAAAGTAAATATAACCGAATTATAATTTGTTATATTCCTTTGATGTTGTTGACTCTAATCATCGTGTTGTATCATGCAAATGTCAGATTAGTTATCGTCAGAGCAAAACTCGTCCCTATGAAAACAATTGACTGGCGTAAGATTATTACCTAATCTCCGAAACCAATACAAAGTTACAGTTCGTAATTGTTTTCGAACAACTTATTGATGAATTGCCGGCGGACAGGGTGTATTTTTCTACTGCTTACGGCACCCTAAAAAAGGCTTTAAATATCCTACCTAAGCGTATCAAAACAATCGAAATGGCCATCTGTCATCACAGAGATCACTAGGTCCAGAGAGACAATAAACCTGGCCTCTGAAGCAATCTGGTGGCGTAGTAGGCTCGGAACACAAGGAAACGGCTTGGAGCTGCTAAAGCCAAGCTGAACAAGGCTTATGAAAGCTCCTTGGAAGATTACATCAAGCAAAAAGCCAAGGAACTACAGAAAGCATATGTGGAAAATCAACATTCCTGGAATATTCTCAGGGAAATTACCTCGACAAAAGCTAAGTGGATTTTCCAAAAGCATTTGACTAAGGAAAATAATGTTTCATATTCTCACTCTGTACGGCATCCCTAGATTTTATCAAGGCCATCACAATAATGTACGAGAATCTTACCAGCTATGTGGAGACATCAGATTGTCCCACTGATCAATTTACAATCAAGAAAGGAATACTTCAAGGGGACACTCTTGCTCCATATCTGTTTGTCATAGTCAGTTTGTCATACATTCTCAGGCAGTCACTAGACAAAATCTATTCTAATGATCTCACTATTAAGCCCAGATCATCCAGGCGTCATCAAGGAATATTCGTTACTGATTAAAATTATGCTGACGACCTAGTTCTGACCTCAGACCACCTCAAAGATGCACAGGATCTCCTTACTTCACTAGAAACTGCAGCGACCAAAGCAGGATTACTTTTTAATGCCAGGAAAACCGAGTGTTTGGTATTTAATGAAGACGATGGCCACCCTTTGATCTGCACCATTGATGGATCAATGTTGAAAGAAGTGAAGGATTTCAAGTATCTTGGATCATTTGTAAGAGAAAGCCAAACGGACTTTTTTTCTCGTAAATGTCAAGCATGGACTGCATGTAACAAACTTCATGTTATATGACAATCTATCATCCCTGTTAGTACAAAGCTTAAATTCTTCCGTGCCTGAAACATGGACCATGAAGAAAAAGCTAGAGAAGAGACTAGATGGCACCTACACCAAACTCCTCATGAATCCAAAATATCGGCTAGAGAAACTACCCAATCAAACAGCAGATTTATAATGACATTCTTCCAATTTTATCCACACTTGCTGGACATTGCTTTAGAGCAGAAAACCAAATAATTTCAGACCTCCTTTTCCGAAAACCTCCATACTCTCGACGCGGCAGGCAGCCTCTCACTTTTCCAGACACCATTGTCAGAAACATCGAACTCAGCCTCGAAGACATCAGTGGAGCAATGAATGACAGAACATTCTGGCTGACCGTTATTAGTAACATCTCGGCTGCAGCCGAGGGGCAAGTTAAGGTAATATTTGCTAGGGTCTACAACATAAATTCCACCTGTACAAGGCACTATAAAAAAGGGTATGCTGTGAGTCGAATGGCTGAGCAGTTAATGCAGTGGCGCCGCAACCTACAGCCATAACATCGACACGGGTTCAAATTCAAACGGCACGCTCACCTATGGTTCTGTGGTGATAGAGCAAGTCTACTCGGATAAGAACTATTAAACGTAGGCCCAGTGTACACAATGGCTCGTGTGCACTATAAACAACCCAGTATGTCATCGTCCCAGCGAAGGTGAGTGAAGGGGAATCCCCTACATCACGTCGGACAGACCTGGGCTAGGTTATCGAATCAAAATTTTAAAAAAAAGAATAATTTTCCTATGCAAATAACGTTATTATTAGTGCCAATCCCTAAATAATATTGTGGTATAAAAGCACATCTCCCCGTCGACCAAGGCTTTGTCGGCCACGTGGCTCGGAGCCAGGGGTGGCGCCAGGATTTGTCTGACGGTGGGGCCGAGGTCCCCTACGGGGGGGGGGAGGGGGCCGTGCCCCCGACGAGGTGTCGGATTTCGCCGACGAAAGCAAAGTGGGCGTGGTCGAGCTTCGATAAAGGTTCCGAAAGTGGTCCTGGGGGCGAAACCCCCGAAAATTTCGACAATTTAGGGGTTTATTTCAAAGGCTTATTTAATCGATTGTATCTACTAATATGTAAAAAATACATATAATATTTTTTTCTCCCCGACGAATTGTGCTTTTTTATTTTTTGAGGAATTTTTTATAGAAACAGATTGGCAGTGGGCAAAGATTTTCTCTCTACTGAGTGCTCTTGTTGTTGTTACTATTCTTATTATTATTATTATTATTATTATTATTATTATTATTATTATTATTATTATTATTATTATTATTATTATTATTATTATTATTATTATTAATAATAATAATAATATTATTATTATTACTATTATTATATTATTATTATTATTATTATTATTATTATTATTAATACGTTTTCAGGGATAGTAATGTAATCTGTTGTGTTATGTTGTAACAAAGAGAACAATTAAATGTGATCATATTTCAGGCAGCTAATTTATATATTGTAATGCCGAAATAAGGTGTATAACACAAACTGATGATATGCTTACACTTGTGGATGTTTAGGACTTTTGTACTTTTTTTCTTTCTAACTTATTCTTTACCATGGGTATATTAATCGTTCTAATTATTAAGTGGATATGGAAATAACTTACCAGAATGGTGAGGCACAAGGGGGAAACGAACGCCCATATGGCACCAGATCTAGACTCCAACCAGCATCTAGAATTGACAATATAGAAATGTGTAAGTATGCTGCAAATCACTTATTAATGCACATTTTCTATATACTTCACAATACACTTCCCATTGGTAAAAAGTATGATGTGAATGATTTGAATTAAATTGGTCTGTTTTATTATTATTACATCATCATCAATCATCGTCGTCGCTGTCGTCGTGGTCGTCGACGTCGTCATCCGTAGTCGCTGTTACCATATTTACTACACAGTATTACACTTAAAATTTGGGTTAAAACCTTGTAAACGTCTTTGAAAATTTAATAATATATTTCAAATTTAAAGGAAAAATTAATATACAATTAGCATACTTTATGAGGGTTTACTTAAAATTTTACCGGATACAGGCCTACTAAATGAGTTCAGGCATTAAGAAATTCAATGAAATATTTAAAACTGAAGCAAAAGTTTCGAAAATGTAGCTCAAATTTACTCATCAGATGCGTAGTTTTCTCGTGTTAAGCCAACAGTTGTCCCAACGACAGTGAAAGGTCCAATCCAACCAATGTATCGACTGTACAAGAAGCGCCTCTCATGATCAGCAAACGGATGTTTGATCTTCATGTATACATCTGTTGACATTATCGACATCCACGAGAAAGCTGCCAAAAGACTGTAATGCAAGCATCCAGCAAGAAAACCGCATGCGATCTTAAAAGAAATCATTTCAGAATTTTATTAGATTTTGACTGTTTTTTTTTACATTTGTTATACACAATTATTTGTGTAATTTTATACGTCAAGTACGTCAGTGATGTTGCCTATAGACACATGGTGTCTTAATGCAATGAGCGGTATGAAAAGTTAGATGATTCGAAACTCCACCTTTGTAGCGATTCTTCAGAGATGTATCCAATATAGGCAATGTCTTGATGGTTGTCTGTATTTCTTTTTATGATTTTAGATTCAAGTTGAATGGTTTTCTTTCAAAAGCCTTGTTTCAGGCGAGTTAAGGTCAAATGTCATTTAATGGTCAAAGGGTCAGATTGTAATATGGTCCGATTGCACTCGAGCCCAAAATTCACACGAAAACACTCTGTGAAACCAAAGGTTTCACCGATAAGTTTGAAATTAGATAGCTAGAAAAAAAACTTTACTTTATAAACAAAACTTTATTAGTTCATTTTCAGGAATGAAGATGAACTAGATTTGGAAATATTCAATCGTGTATTACTTTTTTCTAGAGTTTGTATCATACTATCTGATCTTTGTGTATTTACAAATAAAATTATGTTAACATTACCGTACTCGCGCGAATAAGTGCCCCGTTTGAATAAGCGCCCCTCTCGATGTTTATTATTTTTTCTAACAATACATTATGTGATTTTTTTTCTTAGCAAGCCAATAATCCAAACAATCTATGCGGAGTGGATTCACATTCTCTTCTTATGTCAATTTCAAAATGAGGATATTTTCTCGCGGATAGATGAAAGCGCTCTGTACAGTATATCTTTCCAACTTTCCTCTTCTTATATTTTTCTAGTCTTAGTCCTAATTTTCGCCTTTATTTCCAGAGAATTTGTACCTTTAGCACGTTTCCATCTGAGTTTGCAAGAACCCCTGCAATGATCCGGCTAATCTCAATCGGCAGATGGTCAACAAGCTTATATACCGCCACCACTAGTACCATCCTAATTTTATCTACTGTTAAAACTCGCATTTTTGTTATGGCCCATGTTCTCTTGGCGATTTTTTTCTGCACCAGAACCATTCGTAATTTTCGGTTTCCATATGCCCTTATATTATAATAATTTTTCATTCAAAAAGCGCCCCTTGAATTTCCCAGATTCCCCTACAACCCCTCAATTTTCATAAATTTCCATAAGCACTCTCTCAATTTCCACTTTGTTTTCATGAGCACCTTGTTTGAATAAGCGCCCTCAAAAAGTATAAAAAATATTTTAAGCGCTAAGGCGCTTATTCTCGCAAGTACAGTATTTAGATGAAAAGTCAAAGTTAAAGGTTTAAAGTTGAATTTTCAACATGTACCGATTCAGTGAGATAATGTTCATTTAGGATAGTAATCATAACATACCTTGCATTGTACACTTGTTTCTAAGGCTAGACATGCGAGCTAAGTTGTTATGTTCAGATGTTATGCAACGATATTTAATTCTTTTTTGAAATAAATTGGTTGAAATAAAAGAATAAAGCAGTTAAAGTATTCAAGTGCAGCAACTGGGTTTCAGTGAGGGGCGCCGCAACCTATAGCTAAAATATCGGCGCTGGTTCGAAAGGTACGCGCGCCTATGGTTCTGGTGGTGGAACAAGTCTTCTCGAATAAGGCTTAACCGTAGGCCCAGTGTATCTAATTTGGCTCGCGTGCATTTAAAAGAACCCAATACATCTTTCGAGACGAGTAGGAGGTTACTCCGGTGCACTGGTCCATACAACACGTTGTGGACAGAAGAGAGTAGCTGGTACCGTTTACTGGGTAGCTCAGTCATGAAGAGACCCTTAGGAAAGAAGAAAGTTACTGTACGAGCTAATCCACAGCGCTTTGAGACTCCGGTATAAAGCGCTATATAAATCGAAATACATTACATTATATGTATATTAATCGAATGCCCGAGTGGTTAAGGCAGAGGCAACACAACGTACAGCCATAAATCGGCGCTGATTCGAACGACACGCTCGACTATGGTTTTGGTGGTAGAGCGAGTCTTCTCAGATAAGGACTATGAACCGTAGGCCTAGTGCACCCAACTTGGCTCGTTCCCTGGTACAGACGAGAGTAGGTACCGGTTTACTGGGTAACTCAGACACGAAGAGACCCTTAGAGGAGAAGAAATTTACTTTTACGAGCTTGTCCACACCTAGAGTGCCCTGACACTTCAGTATAAAGCGCTATATAAATCCCACTCATTACTTTTACATTAATTTTTTTATCAACATTTGCCTACAAATATTTTATGATATTTATTTCATATAAATTCAACATACCGTATTCTTCACATCAGCCTCCAGGAGCAAAAAGAAGAAATTGACACAGAGTAGGGCGATGACCAAATGACGCAAGATTTTGTACCGGTCTAAGTTCCTCAAGCCTCTGATACGAAAATGCACAGGGGTTGGTTTTCATACAACTTGCTTCTTTTAGATATTTTCTCTACATATGCAATTCTGAGAACAACAACCTAGACTAGTGGGAAGGCAACACAGACATGCAGCTGAGCTTTTTGTTTGATTTTGTTGCTCATAGAGGTCTCTATAAGTCTACCATTGATTAATTCCCCGTTCCCCGTTTAGCCCACGACCCAAATTATATGTCAAGAACTCAGACGCGACCCATCGAACCTGAAGTCAATAAATCACGTCTGTGTTTTTTTTTTTGTTTTTTTTTTCCCGCCCTAGGGATAGCTGGTATTATAAGATACTACCCACTTGATTCTTTTGGCAAAAATATACTATCACCCAAAATCAATTTAATACCCATAAAAATTAAAATATAGCTTTGAATTACTAATTTAACAAAGCCACGTAAGTTATAAAATTTTTAAATACGTTAAAGGTTTGTAAAAATTAATTATTTACAGGCATTTTATTATACATAAAATCCTAGATTTGATGCCAGAAATCTATGGGTTATGCGAAGACATAGACACATTTTGAAACATTTTTAATGCCAAACACAGTTGAAATGAACAAAACTAACACTTTGATTTAATGGGTTATGCAAAAGACACAGACATATTTAATTGAAGAGAAAAATGTTTTCTCATTATGATTTTCAGGTGAAAGTCATACACTTTAAAATGAACAAAACTAACACTTGCAGGTTGAAATACCTGCAGTACAAATGTTTCGATAGTGTATTTCTTAACATCAAAACTTTGATAACGCACGCATTACAAAAGTAAACTGACGCACACATGTCACATTTTTTCACGATATGAAGAGGTTATGCAACCCATCAAGATTTTCCGCGACCCATAGGTTGCGGAACGATGGATTAATTGATTGGCTGATTGAAGTTATTCAATGCTCAAATTGCACAAACAATATGATTTGAGAACAAGAAAAATTTTTTAAAAATTGCAAATTAAAAAATTACGTATAAAATCATAAGTATTTAAAATTGTTATTGTTGTTATTATTATTATTATTAATATTGTTATTATTATTATTATTTTCATAATTATAGTTACTGTTATTCTACGTCAACTTACTTCATACCACAAATGGTAACGAGGGTAGTGATAAGAAAAACATTCGAAATTGAAACTCCAACGGTCGTAAGCACGGACAAAGTCCCGTTATTTACCTGTAAAATATAAAACTGCTGTATAAGAATTAGCGCGTCAATCTTAGGACAAATAGCGAACAGTAGAGGCTCATATTCTTACCACGTGCGTCAGTACCTCTAAAGCTTTTAAAAACATTTTCTTACGGTTTCATTAAAACATGATTTCCATTCATTCTTACCTGATTGGGTTTCATCAGAATGACAAACGACGTCAGGTGAGTACACATGCACGTCACTCCGCTAACCATATAGTCGATGGCATAATCTGTCACACAGCCATTCGATGACCACAATCTTTAAAAAAATAAGTCAAGGTGTTGTTACTACATTGTAGGCATTTATTATATATTTGATCTAAATAAATAATATATATTTATATATAAATATATAAATTGTGTAATACAATATGTAATGTGTATATTACAGTTGTTTTTGTCGTTGACTATGGTTGTGTCACCGTCATTGTTGCCTTCATTGTTGCGCGTCGTCGATGCTCGTTACCGCTGGCATGATCATAAATATTTTTATACAAATGTTCCTTCACAAATACAGATAAATTTTATTTTATCATTTTCATCGGAAATTACACCATCATCAAATCATATGCATCAGATTATCTACCACCATTCCAGACTAACATATAAGCCTAACGTATAAGCTAAATCTAAACTCATAAAAACATGAATTTAGGATTATATAGGCCTAGTACACAATAATAAATTAATACTAAACTTGAATATTGTTTTATCACGGCAGAGAATTGGTGTGTGAGGTAAATTTTAAATAATTTTCATTATTGAAAGATTTGTCAAAAAGGGGGACAATTAGGGGTTGGTCGGGGACAGTGGGGAAAATGCTGTCTATGATAAGCTGGGACCGTAACGATTACCGTTTTTTCAAGTTTAAATGAGAAGAAAGTGCTTACACAGTTTCCAGTTGATCATCATAGTCAAACTTTACACTTGCAACCACTTTGAATGGTCCGTCTAAATAAGAACATATCGGTTTTCCTTAATAAGTACAATAGCTATAAAATTGTATCAACAACAGAACCAGCCACTCCAGTACCAAAGTAGCAGTAACAGCGTTAGCACTAGCACCACCAACACCAGCAACATCTGCTGCACCAACATCAGTATTAGCACCATCATTAACAACACCACAGAATCAGCAGCAACAACATTATATGTATGCGTATGGCGATAGATGTGTGATTACTTCTGAGTGAATTTTCTTAAGCCCTAGGGTGTTTGTGCTACTCGGTAAACCGGACCGAGATTTTCATAGTCTTAAGCAGCTTTGGTCTTTAATTAGAATAATAAAAATAAAAGACATTTGTTAATTTGGGACCACAGAAAAGTGGTTTTTAATTTGGAGGTGGTCTTTAATTAGCTGTAGTTGTGAAACCAGTAGAAAAAAAAAACAAAAAAGGATGTAGAACAACACACATTGGGAGTATTAACATGATGTAGGAGACACTTTACACACGATATTAATAATTTCAATTAAACGGCCGACTGGGGAAGTTCCAAGTCTTCCTAAAGGTGTAGTCTAACTAATTACATACATCAGTCCCTTCACATTGTTATTTTTATCATTGTCGTCATCATCCCAATCCATCATCATCACCATCATCATCGTATTCGCCATTGCTATCATCATCATCAGCAGCATCATAATCATCATCATCATCATCATCATCATCATCATCATCATTATTAATACTCAAAATTACAATTTAATCTATAATAGATTTAAGCGTTGTAAGTGTGACAATGGACTTTGATATTAATGTATGATTTTGTTTTTAGTTTAAAATTATGCATACCTTCTTCCAGTGGATCAACAACTGATGTCGAGAATGTGACCCTATTCGGGTCAGATGTCAGAGGAACCTCGAATACTTCCGGTGATTCTACCACGAAAGTTATACCAACTGTAAACTTTAATTCGGACACTGTATACAATTCAAGGAAATATTAAATTTTAATATATGTTATGTCGAACCTTATAACATGCTTAAGCTTCATAATTTACTGGTGGTAGCTAACCAGAGAAATAGTTTATGATTTTCAAGTACGATATCTAAACAATACCGTAATGCTCGAATAAGCGCCGAATGTTGAATATAGATTAAACTTGCTCCAGAGTTTTTAAAAATAATTGTTCTTTTTTATTGATTTTATGTAAAAGTTTGTTACAATTCAGTTTTTCCGTGAAGATGATTTTAATAAAAACACCATTATGAATGAATGAATGAATCAATCAATGAATGTATTGATTGATTAATAGCGATAGCAGTAATAATAATAGTAATAATAATAATAATAATAATAATAATATTATATAGTTGTATCGTAGTAGCCTTACATTTACATTGAGTCATCACATGCGTTGATCTAAGAATATCATTAGAAATAGAAGTAATAGTAGTAATAATAATATAAATAATAATCATAAGAATCTTTTTTTTTAACTGAACTGCAATTTCTTGTAATTTTTGTATTCTAAATGTTTGTATGTGGCTGCTTATATTAATTGTGGATACCTTCTGTACTTAATTGTCGTGTATTTATTAGTCCTGGACTTTAATTTCGTAAACTGTTTTGGATTGCATTACTCTAACCGATGCGTCGGTTAGTAGTCGCGACGTAGCCCGTGCCTATTTGCAACACTGGAGAACTACCGGTATTCAATTGAATGCCATGTTGACAAAATGCATGGAATGCTCCATACAAATGAAGACAGGGCTAGATACATACCTTGCCTTCGTGAGTATGATATACGTTGTTATCAACCATGTTGTACTAGGAACAGGCGTTATAATTTTTTTAAACCAGGCGAAAACGAGGTGGTAGAAAATTAAGACGCAAAATTGAAGTGCGGATAAACACTGGCAGCTATCGGAATGTATTTAAACGTAATTCAAGATACAGGCCTACTGACGAACGGAAACTTAGGAATAACGATCTAATTAATATCAAATTGGAGCAAAAGTCTAAAGTTATTCACACGAGCCCTCAGTTATTCTTATCAAACGCAAGATCATGGAACAATAAGATTGATGAGTTTGAAGTAACGGTAACGAAACTTGGTAACAATGTAGATTACAGAATCATGGCTGAATGATCGAACCAAAGCTTTAGTTAACATTCCAAAGTTCAATTGCATTGCAATGAATAGGTGCAAACGTACAGGAGGAGGAGGTGCTTTATTCATAAATAATAAATTTAGCGTACATAATTTTACCGAACATGATGCATGTGAATATGAATGTTGTTGGAGGAAAATCATTCTCCCCGACTCAAGCAGGATCTCCCAGTGCTACTCCATAGGTGCCGTTTATTATCCACCATCAGCCATTGGTGGCGACGACGTGTTAGACCATTTAATACATAGGCCTACTGTTGATGCAATCCGTTCCAAAGACCTCTCTACATCCATTCTCATATTAGGGGATTTCAACGACTTGGACACTGATCTGTTAAATTCCTTTCTATGACCCAGATTGTTAAACCACAAAACGAAATCAAACATGTCGGAGTATGTCCACAGTAAAGTGAGACCTTATACGGAATCCTCAGTCAGGAATTTTGGGCAGTGGATTACGGTACATGAGTGGAGTGAGTTTATAACGACTCTTTGAGTAACGCTAAAACTAATGCACTTATTATAGGTGCTTTTAATCGTAATTTCAAAATAAAGAACGTGTGTAAACGCACTGCAGATCGACTATGGATTACTCCAAAGATTAGACGCCTACTAGATGAACGACAGCGAGCTTATAAGCAAGCATCTGAAGCTGAATGGAATTACCTGAGAAAGCAGGTACAAAGCTAGAGCTATCAAAAGCGCAAAAAAGTCATTTTACAACAATAATATTCAGTGCTTGAAGCACAACAGTCCTGGTAAATGGCACAGAAACTTAAGAAATCTATGCAACTTAAAAAACAAACCAGCTTTAAGCTTTCCCGGAGAGTCGCATGAAGAATCGGCAATCAGGATAAATAATCATTTTGTGTCTGTCTGTTGTACACTACCTCCCTTTGATCTGAAAGTATTACCAGCTTTTCTTCCGGCCATAAATTCCCCCACCCAGTATTTTTTTCCTGGACAGGCTTTTAACCTAATCTGTAAGTTAAATTCTCGTAAGTCTGGTCACCTCCCGATTAAATTAGTTAAGGAATTTAAGAATGAACTCTCCCCTGTCAATGCGGATGTGTTTAATACATGTCTGAAGGGGGGTGTTTTCCCAGATGCTTGGAAATTGGCTACAGTCCCTAAAGTTAATAATATATCATCATTGCATGACTTGCGACCCATATCTTTAACACCAAATTTGCCAGAATTTTTGTATCTTTTATAATTGTCTCTTGGATTACAGAGAGCATTAATGGTTTTTTAGATATGAACCAATATGGTTGCCAAAAATGCTCCTCGACGTCAGACTATCCTATTGACTTAATCAACACAGTTGTTAGTGGGCTTGAAGCCTCTGGTACTTTTGCATATCTATGTGCCATCGATTTTTCTAAAGCTTTTAATCGAGTTGATCATAGTGTGGTCGTCGAGACAAGTTAATTATTATAGGAGTGAGGTCATCTCTTATCCCCATCATCTGCAGCTTCCTTACTAATCGTAAAATGAATACTAGGTTTGAACAATGTATATCGCCTTACAAAGAAATTACATGTAGTGTCCCACAGGGAACCAAACTTGGAACCATATTATTTCTCATCCTTGTCAATGACATCTCTATAGCAAGCTGCAGTGGATGGAAATTTGTAGATGACCTCACGATTGGTGAGACTGTTAAATACTGAGGACCTCAATTCCTGCAAACCGTTCTTGAGAAGATAACGAACTGGTGTCATTTGAATAATATGATCCCGAATCCAACTAAGTGTAATATAATAAGAATTAATTTTCTGCTAAGAGAAATTCCTCCCCCTATATTCTCCCTTGATGGTACTGTACTAAAAGCTTTAACACATAGAAAATTATTAGGTGTTACCATCCAAGATAATTTAAAATGGGATTTGCATGTTGGTGATATTATTAGCAAGGTATCTCGTCGATTATACTGTATACACGCTATGTATATTGCTCAGAGCCAAAGCCCCCATGGATGATATAACGTGTGTTTACTTTAGCTACATACGCCCCTACAGTTATGCATGCCAGGTTTGGAATGGAGCCATCACTCGACGTCATAGTCATCAAATTAAACGGGTACAAAAGAGGGCCTTAGAATCATCCTGGGCCCCAACTATATCACTTATGATCTTGCTCTGTGCTACCTTAATCTCTTAAGGTTAGACGTGAAAGGATTCTACTTAATTTCGGTAAAAAATTAATGACATCAGACAAATATCGCGAAATGCTCCCTCCTTTTTGTAAGACATCTAGAGTTCTTAGAAATAGTTCTATAAACAATAATTGAATTTAGTAGGTCCAAAACAGAACGTTTTAGAAAGTCACCAATTCTAACATTACTGCATTTGATTAACAACGAA